ACAGACCGGGGCCACGACCCCGTGTCCCCTGCATCGGCAGGCGGACTCTCAACCACTGCGCCACCAGGGAAGCCCCTGACCTAACTTTCTTGCCGCTCCTTCTTCTGCACTAAATCCAGCCTCACTGGCCTTTCTTTCTTTACTTTGAATATTGCCAAGCTCATTTCAGTCTGAGGACCCCTATACTAGCTGCTCCCCCTGACTGGAAGGCTTTTACCCCTGAATTCAAAGATCATGTCAGTCAGATCTAGGCTCTGATATCCCCCTTAGAGAAGGCTTGCTCAACCATCCAATTCAAAGTAGCCTTCTGCTCATTCTATATCACCCCATTATAATTTTCTGCATAGCACTTTTCACTATTTAATATTTTTTATTTAAAAATTAACTTATTTGTGACGATTTTCTCCAATAGAAGTTCTATGAGAGGAGGGGCCTTGTCTGTCTTATTATATGTGCTTGTTTGGATTGCTAGTTGCCTGTATTCAGGCTAAGTCTAGCTACTGAATAAAGTATAGCTTTTGGCAAGTTAATTTATAAAATAAAGAATATTTGCATATCCTATTTAATAGTTTTTGTCTATACTTTTTAAGAACAAGGAAAGGCTATGAGGCAACATGGTGATTCTGGGTTCTAGAACTAACTCTTCCAAAGACTAAGTGGCTTTTCAGCAAATCACTTGCTCTTTCTAGGCCTCTGTTTTCTTATTAGAAGAATGAATAATCTGGACTCAATGACTTCAAGATCTTTTCCAGTTCTGCAGTTCTGTAAGTTTCATTATATTCTCTGCCTAAAAAATACAGACTATTTCCCTGTATCACATTTCAGCTTCAAAAACAGATACAGTAATTGCGTCCCAGACATTCTGAAGTTCTCCATTCTTACCTGTGCCTTTGCTCAGGATGTCCATTCTCTTCCTTTCTACTTATATCAATCTTGCACATCTTTAAAGGCTTGGTTCAAATGCCAGTTCCTCACTGAAGACCTCTGTAACTGTACTGGCTCTCATCCATACCACTCATTCATACCACTGTATAATTTCCATGTACTACTGAATGCTACTATGTGTCAGGCATTTGTCTCATTTAATCACTATAACAACCCTCTGAGGTAGATATTATTAATAATACCTTCATTTCAGAAATAAAGAAATCAAAACTAAGTAATTTTCCCCATCTCACAAAAGTGATACAGGTCAGTCTTATAACCAGTTATATTAAAATCTACAGCCAGCACTGAGTCTTCATGCTATATTGTTTCTAAATGTAGCCCAAAAAGTTAATATGTATTATTCCTTATTATTTCACATGGTCAATATCCCCTGCTCGATTTCAATGAGTACATGTTTTGTAGTTTAAATAATGAGTAATGAGTAAATGAATGAGTAATGAATAATGAGTAAATATATGAATAGACATATGAATAATATCCTTAGCATCAAGGGAAAGTTGCAGGGTAGGGAGTTAACATTTATTGAATATCTCCTTTTCATCAAGAACCTTGCTAGGTCCTTTATTTTTTTTTTAACTTATTATTATTATTATTTTTTCCCTTCCTTTTTCACACTTCCTCTAGCTTACTTTAATAATCCTTGGCCACCTGGCCAGGACCATTGCCTTTGATTGTGTGGGCTGTGCTAGGTTCTTTATATAAACAACTATATATATAACTGTAGCTATATATATTTTGTTTTAATCTGTAAAATAATGTTATTGTACATACTAGAAACTATCACTGTTCCACCTGGCAGCTGAGAAAAGTAAAACAGTAAACAGTTCGGGTGGGAAGAGTTAGAATTTGAATTTGGGTTTTCATGACTCCATAGTCAGTACAAGTATCCATTGTGTTATATGTCCTTAGCAGTTACTTGTATACAAGAGGTTAGCTCAGTGATTCTCAGCAAGGGGTGAATTTGTCCCCCAGCGAACATTTGGCAATGCTTGTACACAATTCGGTTGTTACATCTGGGGGAGAAGTGCTACTGGCATGCAGTGGGCAAAGGCCAAGGATGCTTCTAAACATCTTAAACAGCTCCCCATAAGAAAGAGTCATCCAGCCCACAATGTCAATAGTGCTACGCTGATCAATCCTTGAGTAGCTAAAGAAATTTACTGATGATGTGATAGCATTTTAAGAATAAATAATTAGAATGCTACACAACATATATAAACATGAAGGCTATATGTTAGGAATTTCCCATAGCCATCATTAGGGAACCAGTCATCGTGCAACTGTGTAATTAGTATAAGGCCAGATGGCTGAGCTGTTACTATAGGACAAACTTGCTCAATAAGTAGAACTGCAAGAGAGAAATAAAAAAAGACCTGGAGTAACTCAATCTTTAATAATTTTGTGGAAAGCTATGAGAAATAAATAGATCAGTAAAGTTACAGTGTGATTCAGAAGACATAGCTACTAAGACCCATACTTTTAGATTCTGAAAAATTTTTTAAAAATTGGGTATGAGAAGGTTTATTATTATACTGATAAACAAAATATATCCAAATGATAAAGATTTTTATTATGTCTCGTAAAGTAGATTCTAGTTAGTTCCATGAATGCCTCAAAGTGGCAAAAGAATTCTTGCTTTCCAGCTCGTAAGAGAAAATATACAAAGTCTGTAATCTTTCCTTTGTCTCAAGGTAGGTACTACATTGGGTACTACGTTGACTACTTTATTTCTCTTATTTAATCTTTCTCTTCTCTTCCAATTCCCCTCTTCAAATATCCAGTAACCTGCTCACAGCCTAGAATTTACATTTATTTGATATCTGGAAGAAGTGAGCATGAGACTATGGAACAAAACATTTACCACACGTTTCAATGTGCTCTCCAAAGGGCCAAACACAAGGGTGAACAGCACAGGACACTCAGATAAACTTCTTTCAACTATATCATCCACATATCCCCAATCACACATTTTGCTATGAACTAATCCCCCAAACATTTCCAGCATTCCAACTTTCACCTGCTTATAAACAGCACACTCAGCTGTGTTTCTTTCAACTGTATCATCCACATATCCTTGACATAAAACCTTTCACCCTAAACTAATTCCTCACATTTCCATCATTCCAGGAATTTGTCCAGTATCTCCAAGCCCCAAACCTTGATCAGTGCCAATCCACCTCCAAAACTGACTGCCTGAAAATCAAAACAATATGGAAAGAGAACAATGACCTTAATCGCACAGCACTTAAAAAGATATTATGTTTCCGTGTCTGTCTCCCACATTGGACCATGAGCTCCTCAACAAACCAGCCTATTTCTTATTTTGACAACAATAATTATGACAATACTAGCAGCTAATACTTACAAAGAATTTATTCTGTGCCATATTCTAAGCGCCTTTTCATGATTTATCTTCTCTTATCTCTTAACCACCCCATGA